TTTGTCATTGAAAGAAATGGAAAATCATTCTGCTTGATCTACAAAGGACTACCAGGTGTCTCCAGTAAAAAGAGGTTCGGCTGATGCATATTTATTAAAATAATAGCCATATGCTTCAAGTTGTTCTTTGTGTGGCTCTTCAGAGGGATCAGGGATTCTATTTTGGCTCATTATGCTGAAGAAATTAACCTCCCCTAGTTTAGATGCAAAGTTGATTCTTTAACTGAGAAGCAGATTTCTAATCTACAAATTAACATTTCATTTCATCACTATAAAACTGTATATTTAAGAGCTGCCTGGAATAAAATGAAACCTGATTAATCTGATTTTAACATCAATTAAGATGAGACCACCACTGATACAGGGAGTAACTTTGTGGAAAGTTCCTTTTGCAGTTAAAAATAACATTGTTTTAATCAAATTTATTCAGTTCAAATCATAATCTTGTGATTACATCAGGGCAGTGTTGATCCAACACTTGCTTTTAACACCATTTAACTCTGCAACAACTGTGTATATACAGAGTACAAACGTAGATTCAACAATCGTTTTGAAAAGCAAAAGCTTTTGGCTGGTAGTGAACAATATTCACAATCAAAATATAAAGATTATCCAAATTGTAAATGGATTACTTGTATATTGCTTGTTACATTAAAGTGTGTTATGCCATTTCAAACGCAGTTCAAAAACTTTTTTTAGTGTGACTCAAAAGGACTTTAAAGGACTTCTACCCTTTTTTCCCTGTGCGCTGCTCACATATTTACAGAATGTTGCCATGATTCAAATATTGCTCAGACTTGTCGGTGCGTTCATCCAGGGACATCAGAGAGCTGGAACACGAGGGAATTAGTTGCCTACACACTTCATTTATTGGGCCATAATATAAAGTGTTTTTATTTGGCATAAAGTCAAGTAATGGTGACTGCCATGCTTTCTTATTTGCAGGGAACAGAAGTGAAGGCGATCACCTACTCTGCCATGCAAGTTCATGATACAGAAAAGCCAGAGATCTTTGTGATCATCGATATTTAATTTTAATAATAAAAAAATTACTAAACCTGACGTTTGTATTTCTGTGCTATATGGTTTAAAACGTTGAGTGATACTGCATGCATTTAGATTTTTTTTAATGAGTGTGAAAACTTTTTGACAGTCACGCAAATAAGAATCACACATGTCAAAAGCTGATTTGTTTTTTGCCTTTATTAACACACTTTGAAAAGTAAAAAATAAATAAAATACAAATGTAAAAAACTTGAAAAGAAACAAGGATAGGGGTCTATTACTATGGCTAAATCTATCAAAGACATATTGTAATGGAATATATTTCTCACACAACACAAGGTGCTCCTTGATTACAAGCAAATTACAACTTTATTTAATTCTGTACAGTATTCAGCAGTTTCAGACACACAAACACCTTCCTACGTTTTTAAATAATCTTCATTCAGATCAAGTTTCCTCTTAAAAATGTGATTAGTAGGAACTAATATGAAACAACTTGACCATTTAATTGACCCATCACAAAGCTCGGACCCCAGTAGAGTATCTGCCATGATTGAACAAGTTCATGGTTACTAGCTGCTTTCTGTTTTAAAGAAACTTACAGCAGCCGTTCTTACAATCGACACTGTAGTTATGTTCTGGGGACTGGAGCACATTTCTGCACTGAAAAGGTCTGAGAATGTTCTTGGTCTTTAATGTCCTGCCCCCACACTGGTGCAGTGTTGTCTCATCATAGGATCTGTTCTTTTTAATCTTATGTGAGCACTTGGTAGTAGTATCAGTATGATGCCAGATGATTAAACTTTGCCTTATCTTAAACTGGGCAGGGCTTGTGTGAAAGGTCACTGTAACATTGTGGAGCATACGTCAATTTTTACATTTTTACAAAATTAATAACCAGTATTGAAATTTTCAGTCACATTTGCAAGAAATTCAATCAAACATTTGAAAGGAGTCATGAAACAAAAATGGTCATATGTTGTACATATTTCAAAATTAGAGTCAGCTCTGGGAATGTCACGTTTAAAAAGTAATAGTTTGTTGCATAGATATTTTCTTTTTTATTCCTGCACCCACAAGATTCTTCATGGTCTTCTCCTTGTGTTAAACATATGCTTTGAGAAGACTCATGACATGGATTTAAAAGAAAAGGGGGGAATGAAAGAGATGTAGGTGTAGGGGAAAGGTTTACGAGTCAGAGGAATATCTAACTGAACACACCATATTAGTTTGTTACAATTCATACCGTAAACTTTGCAGCAGTTTGTACTATACACATGTATACATATGTGGTACCCTGAGATACTAATTTTTTTCTTATCTCGGAGCAAAACATTTCCTGCAAGTTCTTTCATATCTCTTAATGTTTCATAACTTGAAGCATTCGTATTTCGAGGTACCACTGTATAAATATACACTATTACAATTAATACTCATTAATACACACAGTTAATGAGTTATGCACCATAACAATAAAGCCTTTTATTAAATAAGTGAATTTAGTATGAAGTGCTTAGGACAGGAAACCAAATCCATAAGCAGCAAGCAGCAGACCATGTGTCATATTTAGTCTTCTGTGACCCGGGTGTGACGTGAGCTCAGGCCAGGCCCCACCAACAGTCAACAGCTACCCGATGGGCAACCCCACCACGTAGGGGAGGACGTACTGCCCAGCAATAGGCAGGCAAGTTCCCCCTGACAGTACAGGTCTGACCAGCAGGCCCCGCCCACGATCACTCCCCACTGCCAAGAGACCAGAAGGCGCCAGGGAGAGGTGACCACATCCATATAGTATTTTGATAAGTTAGTTATCAGGAATATTTGGTCCTGGTGATTTTTATTTTTTATTACATCGTTGTGGTAAACATTTTCAAGTCTTGTTATCTTTACAATGGGCATAAATAACCTTCAACATTTAAACATTTTTAATCCCAAAAGGAGATCACCTATCATTTCTTAGAGCAGCGTAATGTTTTTTTGCTATGGAAGCTTTCATGCAGTAAATGTTCTCTTTAGCAGCTACATTCAAGGGAAATGTATACACTTGTCATCTTTGCTTACAGCACTGTAAATACAGGAGGAATCCAGTGGAAATCAAGAGCACGGAGCACAGAACAGACAGGATCACAACCGAAGAATTTGACTTGCTGTCTTTGTCTGAAAACATAGAAAAAAAAGCAAAATTTAAATTCACAAAAGCAAAACCAACACAAATCTTACAGAAGCATTCATGCCATGTGGCCTGGCAATACCATCTCTGAGGTAACTCTTGTTACACCTCATATAGCTCTTAAACTTGAACATTTTGCAAAACCAATATGAAAAAGCAATATGAAACAGAAAAAGTTGTACAAGTAGTTGGTTCACATTCATTCTGTGCATTGGTCAAATTATATTGATCATGGTCTCCACAAATGTCCTCATGCACTCTTTACTATTTTATCATGGACATTTGGTTAAAATGGCTCCTTATCAGGACAAAAAAAAGTAAGGAAAGGGCTCGACCACAAAATAACAAGCATACCTACCGAGTTCAATGATCATGGCTCTTTTATCTTTGTTTCAGGTGAAAAACAAACATTTGCTTTAAGAAGTTAATGTTAGATTAGTGTTCTGAAGAGCCACTGATTTGCTTCAACACAAAAGTAAAAAAAAAAACTTGGATGGTGCATGAAAGAGGTGTTCATTTTAAGAGGGAATTTGAAGTCAGCAATGGTCCATCTTCCTTCCTTTTAGAACAGATAAGCATAGCATTTTTACCAATCTTTACCGACCCTTTAAATACTCTCTCAGTCCTACGGCATGTCCCAAAACGTACTTCTTAAATAATAAAGATTAGATTGAGGGTCTTAAACCATACTATATATTTTTAAAAGGTACTTCATTTGAAGTATGTGAATGACATCTTCCTTATAACCTGTAAATGTAAATATATGGTTTATATTTGTTCATTCAGCAAAAACAAGAATACTAACGTGGGTAAGTTTCTCCAAATTACAATAAACAAAATACAGACAAACTAATTGACATGCTCGTAACTAGGCAATTGATGGTCAGTTGAGGAGAGTAGAATGTGAAGACTTTACTATGTATTTTTCCTCCTGAAAAAGGATACCTGAGCCATTCCACTGAATGGGTGCCATTTTTGTCCCTAGGACTTTATGTGTATAAATAATCACCAAAATTTCTTCATCATCACATTTTATTACCAACTAAAGTGTACTAGTGTTAGAAAAATTATGAAATGTGATTTCATGACTCCATGTTTTTGTAGATACTAAATGTATGATTTATCAAATGCATTTATAACTGTGTCTGTTCAGTTCTATTAGTTCTCATTCCTTTCAGAGATGTTCTCAGCGTTCACCGTGAGCTGAGACACTGTGACATTTTGCTTAGTCATTGCTTTTATTATTCTCTTATTCTCTTTTCCGTTATTGTGACTACGTCCCTGTAACCACCCCTTGTTTGGGTTAAGATAACTCTTTAACTGTGAGACTTTTTGAGTTTAGTTCGCAGTAGTGTGTGTATGTTTTTGCGATCGGGCAGAGTGTGTAACTTCAGTGTTCCATTCTGGTATTCGGATGCTATTCTCTCCTTCTCTCTCTATGATGCTTTTCGTCTCCATATGCTCTTAATCTCCTTGATCAAAAATAGGCATCAAACTTAGTATGCAAATAGGGAATTAAAATTAACATCAATTGGATTCGTGGTGTCGGTGTTCTTCTTTTGGAATTTTTCCAACAACTAGCTACTATTGTTTTTAAAAATTAAGCTATAACATTTAAAACCTTGACTGATTTACCCACATAAAACACTGAAAACTACAAGTCCCCAGTCTCTGATGCTACACGTAACCTTAAAATAATCATAAAAGTGCCTTTCTTTTGCATTGATAAGTAAATCCTTATGTAATTTTGTATGAAATACATTTATTTGCACAAATACATAAAAAAAAAAACAAGACAAAAACATTTTAGTCATGTCCTTATTCAGCTTTCCTGTGGCTCATTTTGTAGAGCATTGCGCTAATAACGCAAATATTATGGGTTCAAATCTCAGGTAAAGCAAGAACAAAAAAAAATTTATTTGTGTATTCAAATGTAAGTTGCTTTGGATGAATGTGGCTGCCAAATGCAGAAATATAAATGTGCCTCTTACTCATGACGGTTACCCTAACCAATCACTTGGAACTTTAGAAGGGCATGGGAATAGCAAGCGTAAGATTTTGGAGCTTCATTTAAAAATATAAATACTATACTGTTATTCAAATTATTTCAAAGATTTAATCATTTTATTGTGGAGAAAAAAACATTTGGTAAATAACTGACTTTGTAGAATTTCCTAGTTCTATAATTATGTGCATTATGGTTCCATTTAGTATGTACTTGATAATTTTCTGCTAAATTCTCAGTCATGTTACTTATATAAAGAGTAACAAGAAAAAAATGGCACCCATCTCATGATTATAAATATAATAAAACATTTAAGAAAGTTACTCAAATGGACTAATTTGGAATACTTTAGTATGTATGCTATTGGAATCTGTTTTAAAATCAAGTAAAAAAATTACAAGTACACAGTACCCATTTGGTGGAATGGCTCACCTACTGTAAGGGTTTAGTGCGTGGAATATACGTATAATATAACAGAATTGTAAAGCTGCATATGTCTGATGGCCACAAGTCTTAATGGATTTTAGCAGGTGTCCATAAGACAGTCATTGACACTGTTTGCAAGGTGGGTAACCAACAAAGTTCTAAAACGTAGGATGTAATAATTCTTATACATGTACTTCTATTAAAAGGGCAATTATTCACTGAAATGTCTAAAAATGTTTCTGATGCACTGTGTTCATTTGCACTCAGAGCAGTTCAGCAAATAAAAGTCAAACTGGATGATGATGATGATGATTCCTGGACTGAGGACAAAACCTGGAAATGCAACCCTTGCAAAATTCCTTGTGTTCAAAACAGCAGAAGTAAAGATTTATCACAGCAAATCTGCTTCAACGCACTGCAATCCTGTCGCCAAACCAAAGCAGGAAATCAATTAGGAAACAATGCGCCTTGTGACAGAAAACACTACTTTATTGTTCTCAGTCTCGTGTTCTGATGCTGAACAGTAAAGTACAATATTTTGTGTTAACATACGAACATACTGTTTCTTTGTTCAATGAGGAGCGCCTACCAAAACATTCCTCAAAATACTGATTTCAAATTAACATGAGAAATATTTTTAAGGAAATGTATGCAATTGATCACATTTTCACATTCATCACAAAATGTTAAACTTCCATATATGAGGCTGGAACCACATGCATTGTGACTTTAGATAAGGAAAAAAACCCATTAACCTTCCAGTCTCAATAGTAAGAGAAAAATACATTGCAAAATATTGAACGTGTGTCCACATGAAAACAAAGGATCAGTTCAGTTGGAAACATGAGAAATGTGGAGAGTAGTGAATGTATCTACTGGTGTCCAACGAGGAGAGGAAATTCTTTGTGTGATGACATTTTCCATAAATTATATTTATAAAAATTTACCACATTTATTATATCCAACATGCCCAAACATTGCTGATTGGTTTGTTTTGTCCATTAATTTCTTTTTGGGCTGTAGAAGATGCATTATTTCCGGATTTCCTTTGGGAATTTTGGGAAATCTGAAACGGTTGCTGTTATGTTGTGAAAGCAGCTTGAGACCGGTGTAAAAACCAGCTTTTCAATTATTTCTCAACTTAATCTCCAGTGAATGTTTACAAAACAAAGTTTCCAGGCATCATTGGGTGTGTCTGTATTCACATACCAAAGATAACATAATGAATAATTTCTTTCAAGATCAACCATATCCGTTTCTTTACAGTTCTGTGTTCTCAGCAATACACTGTTGATTTATTTCACCTTCATCATGATTTACAATTGAGTCATTGGGTTTGGCTTTTTTTAGTGAATACTTTAAACTTAACCCTTAGCAGTCTGGGGCCCTTTAAAGCATTTTTTACTGTACTTTATAATTTGCTTGAATAAATTATCTATAAAACATATTTTGTTAGCTAATGCTTGATGTCATTTTTTAGTACAATCCCAGCTTCTTTTTTTTACCAATATTTTGTAATGCCATTACACAATAATTCCACAACAATTCTGAAATTTTGCAAAAACGAAAACGTTGACAACAGATTTTTTTGTTTAAAAAAAAACATTTATGAGACATTTTTTATAAATCATAAAAAAGACCCCCGTGACCCCAAAAGGAAATAAGCGGGTTGGAAAATGAATGAATAAATTAATTATGGGTTATAACTCTTTTAATGTTCATTTAAAACACGAAATATCAAAGCTAATAACCTTTTGAGACCTACACATTATATTTGAAATCAAAATTAAGCAATAACTGGACTGTGTCTGTGTCCCTTCAACTCAATTCAAAACAGACTCTGTGATTGGCAAACGCACCGTTGCGTGCAGGGACTTCTAAGGGTTAAACTGCAGTGTTTTTTTGCATATCTCTGTCAATGAATTCCACCTGGTTGTCCTTAATTTAACTTTACTTTTGTTTTGTTTTAAGGGTGTACTTGCAATCTTGTGTATGGTACTTGAGTGTTCAGAAAAACATCTTGAAATAAAATGCATCATTATTATAATCATCATCATCATCATAACATATGCATAAAAAAATTACCTTGGCATTTAACAATTATTTTTTTATGAAAGAAAATAGTTTTCAACTTTTCTCAGCACCAGTTTCATGCCCTCTACAACCATGTTGATCCTTCAGTTACAAGAATACAGCTTGGAATTTTTTATATTTTATTTAGCGAAGCTCTACATCCACAAAGTAGAATTTTGACCAAACTTTTCATTTCCAAATAAACCTTGTGCTATTTTCTGCAAATTCTGCAAGAGCGAAAATGACCTTCTGCTTCTTTCACCACTCCAATCCATATTTTGTCAGCTGCACAAAGAGTCTTAATCCACAAACTATGCGTCCGACCGTAAGGGGTTTTCCAAACCAGCTGACCCAATTCCTCTAATTTAACCATTTATACACTCTCTAGTGTCACTGAATCTGTAAGAGTGACTTTCTGTTTATTAAGAAAGCAACTAAATTGGTTCCAGGCACATTTAACTAATTCCACTCCATTGAGTAATTGTAGTGATTTCAAAGCTGAAGCCATGTATCCAAACATAAGATGTTAGTGCTAGAAACAGTAGTGTAAAGATGATAAATATTAGGGGAAAATAAATCGACACACATTTAAGTGTACAAACCTTAGTAAAAGGTGAAGATAATTCTGTTAATACATTAATAAAAGTATATGCTCACCGTAGCTGAAGGTTATTTGCCTGTGGATCTCCTGGTGTGCTAAAGGGTTTTTCAGGGTGAACGTGAGATTGACAGCTGGATTCTGCGTGACGTAGCTGCTCTTCAGGTAATAGAGTCCTCCATCAGAAGTGTTTGAGACCTCACGGTTGTCTGAGAGTTCCTGGCCTCCGCCACCACGCCATGAAACCTCTGGCTGGGGGTAACCCTCTGTCTCATACCGCATCATTACATTTAATGGGTCCAAGATGATGCTCAGGCGTGGCTCTGAATAGATGGCTGGAGTGCACACAAAAACACATCTTTGTGTGATTACATTTGTGTGTGTTTAGAATATTTTACACACAGCAACAATGTAAAATCCTAAAGATTTCCTCAAACAAAAAGGAATTATTTTGCATGCACATGTTATGAACTCCATGGAATAATTATATATTTTCTGTGAGGTGCAGCTTTCATTACTTTCAAGGGCACCATACAGCAAATCAACAACAACGGTACAACAAAAAAAAACTAAAGAGTACAACCAATCAATGCAAGATTAAAATGCAAACACCTTAACTGTGTGAAAGCCTACCTGAAACCATACATCGGAATGCTTAAAAACACCAGGAAACCAACTGATTATATGCCTGTGTGGTGCATCTTGTACACACGCACTTGCAAATAAAATTCTTTTTGAAATGGCTTTGGTCCTAACAAATGTGCGGAGAAACCTAAAGGAAATCCTGGAGGCTAACAGCAGCAGGAGAGACGTTGGCTGATAAAATAAAGGTTTCTGAACAGAACTTCCTCTCTAGCTAAATGCATTCTTTACAATCATTGATTACATAGTTTGTTTTTATTAATTAATCACACTTTTTCGGTTTCTGGCTCAAGGGGGTTTGCTGGTGCCTCTCTCCACTATACTTTTGGCAAGAAATGGAGGTACACCCTGGACAGGTCACGCACTTTCACTCCAAAGGGGAATTTAAAGTGTTCAACTAACCTCACGCAAGTTTTTGAGATTGTAGCGGAAACCAGAGTTTCCAGGGGAAACAGCCAGTTTCCTGGTTTTTCAGTTTTTCAGCCTCAAACTGCACCACCATGCCACCTTTAAATTTATTACTTTGTCTTTGTAGCCGCTTTGTTGCTAAAACTTCAAAACAAATCTGTAACATGCCACTGCTGAAGCTTGTTTAGTTCAAAGAGCATCATTGTTTTTTGCATTTAAATCAGTTTATGTTGGAATTTATGAGAATATTATAATTTTTAATGATAAATATTTATAATCTTTTCATGATACCCTTGCTTAGCCAGAACAACCTTTAGCATTGTTAATTGACTTGCTTCTATATATTGTATAGTTGAGATTGAATTCTAATCTTATTTTTTATGTTATAGTTGTTCATCTTCAATGTTAAAACATTCCTCTAATATTATTCTTAATTTCTCTTAACCTATAAAATATTAAGAGTCGTATTTATTCTATGTTAATCCTGCACACCAAGGTTACATTTGCTTCATGCACAAGTTCTTCGTAAGGGTGTAATGAGCGTGCAGAACATCTCCCGCTTGTTAGATGGTCAGAGCAAAATTGCTCAACACTGGGCTTAAAATTATACAGAAAAAGAAGTGTGGTTACACATCTTTAAATATAGTCATGATAGTCTTTCCCTGCAAACAAACCATGGACAGCGGCAGCAGATCAAGAACCAAAAAAAACTTTTGTTCATAATCCTTGAAAAAAAATAAAATAAATA